CATTCAACTCTTGGTTTTGGCTCAGGTCATGATCTCACGGTTCGCGAGTTTGAGCCCCACCTTGGGCTCTGCGTTGACAGTGTGGATCCTGCTTGGGGTTCTCTCTTCCTGTCTCTCTGCCCCTCCCCTGCCTTTGCTCTTTCTCTTAAAATAAATTTAAAAACAAACAAAACATATGATGGTTATGATCATCTGAGAGTGGAAGATGGGTAAGAAGGTAAGTGGAAAGGCTTCCTTGATCTGTGAAACTTTTACATCAGTATTTTAGAAGTGGTTTTTGAGAATAGCCTTGGATAGACTTTGAAACACTTTTCTGATTTTGTTTCAGACCCGGGAAGAAGGCAAGGCCTTGCTCCGGCAAATCCTACAGCTTCGGAACCAAGGGGAGACTCCCTCCACTGAGATGCCTGCTCCCTTTTTCCTCCCTGCTTCACTTTCTGCTAACAACACTCCCACACGCAGAGTTTCTCCACTCAACCTGTCTTCAGTCACACCGTAGTTGGCTGTTTTCAAGCCAGCACACTAGTAGACCCATGTTAAGCCTTACTTCTGTGTAAGGAATGGCCACATCTGTTCTTCCAAGGACCTTAGTTGTCCGTTTGTACAGATGGAAACAGCTCCTTGGGGATGGTTTACAGAATCTGACAGAATAATCCTGGCAGGAACGGACATGGTCTTTTGCCGTTTAGAAGCACTTCTGTTTCCCTCTGTTCAGAGAGTGGCTACGAATCTGGGCCTTCTTCCCAGACCTTTTCTCCCCATCTAAAAAACATCCCTTTAACAGCACTTTAGTACAGGCAAGGCTTACAGAAACCAAGTTTTAATGCTGCTGGGAGTGAGAGATTTCTTTAGGGAGGGATGGAAGGGAGAACAGTGTGCCACTCTACCGTCTGCAGGCAGTAGGGGCACTGGATACCCTAGGAAGGTGAGGGTACCGGATAGACATGACCTCATCATTCTGGATTTACTGAGCATGACTATGCTGTCAGAGGTAAGATTTAAACGGAAGCTACACATTTGTTCTTGCTCTGGGGGGACATTCTTCAGAAACATAATTTTAAGAACTCTTCATAGAAATTTTCATATTGGAATTAACTTACTAGAGTTGAATGAAAGAGGGGGCAAAAAGAATCTTACTTTGCATGGAACTGTTGATGGCAAAAGAGCCTATGGAGTTACCTATACTCTTAACTAAAGCGAAGCAAGGAGTCAGGATTACAGATAATTTCATGGATGTTCAAGAGGTGTTAGGTTTTGTGACCGTATAGACAAGAATAAACCCATTTCAACCTGGTCTGTTGTAATAAATATTTTCGATGTAGTTATGTTCCC